GCTCTCTTTTTTTGAAAAGCGCAATGTGATTGAAAAACTTTAATTATGCGGTAATTATACGGTTTTTTATTAGAAATTATGTTGCTAATAAAAAAGGTTTTGTGAAAAATGAAATAATTATTCTTTGTCTTCCTCCAGCTCATACAGCTTACTATACCTCTTTGTCAAAACTGAATGTGCTACCATATCTTAAATGCGTTACATACTTATTTTCTACAAGTAGAAAAAGTTTCATGTTTTTATCCACTGCACAATTGCTATGCTAATCCACTGCACAAATATTTAAAATGCCTTTCAGAAAAGAGTTCCATAGCTAAGTTCCTCTACAAATTATACTATATTCTGTGTATTTTTAACTTTTTTAGGTAATATATGTGTTACTTAATTTATTCTTAAGAAATAAATCTTAATTAGATTTTTATTAAATTTACTTTTAAAGATTTCAGGAGTTAGATTATTGGTATATTTATACATAAAGTTTAAACGTTAGTAAATATTTATTTGATATATGTTCATTATTTTGATATCTATCATTAAATGTTTAGTGTGCCCCCCCCCCCCGTATTTTGATGTATATAATTTTAAAAGCATGTTTTTGTAAACAAAGAATTTTTTAAGTTTTGTTGGTTGACAACTTTCCCACGTAATATTTTCACAAGTTTAACAATGAATTAAGCAGAAGTTTATAAAAATTAGACTTTGTAAATTTATGTATAGGCAAATTTGATACATAATACTAATAGTTTTACTAACTCTTGATTGTAATAACTATGAAATTGGATGAGTAGCTATATATAGACTAAAAGGTTCTAGAATAATCCATAATGTTCTAAATTGTTCTAGAATTTCAAAAATATTTTAAATATGCAGGAAAACCACACATATTAAGGTGAGTTTCCACTCACCCGTTTTTCTACGGTAACGGGATAGGAAAGGGAAAAATATTCACTTAAGCATGCGCAGTTTTACTTCGGACAAATTAAAACTTATAATACGCATGGCCACGTGATTATTTTTCCCTTCCTTTTCCGGTTCCCGTGAAAAAACGGATGAGTGGATACTCACCTTAAGTAGTAGCAGAACAAAATTAAATAAATGACGAAACGTAGTTTGAATTGCGGGATAACTTTTTTTTACAACCGTGAGGAATTGAACATGTTTTCAATGTTTTGTAATAAAAATTCATTGATTTATGACACAAGAAACTAATTTTTTTTTAAATGTCAAAAAGTCGTAACCCTAATATATATATATATATATATATATATATATATATATATATATATATATATATATATATATATATATATATATATATATATATATATCGATTGATGTTAAATTTGTATTACAAAAGTAATACAAAACTCTATTTCGGTTAAGAGTGCTCAATAATAAAGAAAGTAAACAACTTTCTAACTAGAGCGGTATATATATATTTATTTTTATTTACATTTAGAAAAAACAACTTTTCATGGGATTAATAGTTTCATGCCTATACGGCAATCATCAGCCATGTACTGTATCAAAAACAAACAAACCGTTAATAAAATTACAAAATAAGGTGGAGCGACATCTGACGTCTCTATAGAGACAAAAAAAGAAAAAGTCAAAGAAAATCTCATATAAATCAGCTAATCGCCAGTATCATAAAACGAAAAAAAGATTTTGTTAAAATTTTTAAAAGCAATGGTCTCCATTTATCTATCAGCTGTAATATTAAAATTGTCAATTACCTCAACTTAACACTAATCTTAACTAAATCTTAACAACAGTACCTTCCAACCTTACTCAAAGCCCGGTAACACTCTTCATTATATTCACGCCGACTCTAACCACCCTCCGTGCATATTAAAAAGTCTACCGCAAACAATTGCACTAAGATTGTCTACTGCATCTTCAAACAAAAAATTTTTTGAAAAAACTCTTTCTCTTTATCAGGATGCATTAATAAAATCGGGTTTCTCATCCAAGCTCAAATATCAGTCAGATATAGTTCCCACTAAAAACAAAAATCACAAACAAAACATTATTTGGTATAATCCCCCGTATAGTAAAAATGTTGCAACAAAAACTGGTAATCTTTTTTTAAAAATAATTGATGCAAACTTTCCTGTTGGTCATTTATTACACAAGATTTTCAACAGAAACATCATTAAAGTTAGCTACTCGTGAATGCCGAACGTTAAATCAGTCATTAATTCGCATAATCAAAATATTTTATACAATCATTTAATTAAGTACAGCAATGATACGGTGTTATCTAAAAAAAATTTGGAAACTTAAAAAAGAAAACTTTTCGTTTGTTACTAAATGGAAAATTATCAAGCGCTGCCAAACATATAATCAATCATCCAAAATTTGCAATCTTTGTCTTAATGAAAAGTATTTTATTTTAACGCATACGGGGAGAAACCTGTTAAACAAAAGGAACGAGTTGGTTTCAAATTGTAGGCATAAAAATAAATTCCTTCTTTCGTTTTATAAAAATAATAAAATAAGAAAAATAAATATAAAGAGAGTGGAGAAAAGAAAAAAAAAGGAAATGAAAAAGCAAAAAACAAATAAAAAACCAAATCAATCAAACTAACAAAAAAAAAAAAAAAAAAAAAAAAAGAAACGAAAAAAGAAAAAGAAAAGACAAAAATCCAAAGTTAAAGAAAAAACATTGAAAAATGAAAAGTAATTAAAAGCAATTAAAATAAAATATAAAAATTGCTCCGTTTTTCAAGAAACGTAAAAGAATATTTTTAAAATTTTATTTGTCTTTTTTGACGTATGTCTTTTTTGTTGTTGTTTTTCGTTTTTGTATTCTTATGTATTGTTAATTTGGCATTGTAGAGTATAATTCATTTTGTTTGCATCGTATGTTTTTTAATTTAAATGCTTTTAATTTTATGTTTGTTAGACATTTAAAAAAATGTATATATTTTTAAAGCTGTATATGTATATGTATAAGTATGTGTATATATCTTTATATTTGTGTTTGTGTGTGCATGTAACAATATTAAACTTTCTCATTTTTTTAATGCGTTTTTGTTTTTCTTTATTTTATTTTAAATTTTTATCATGTTTTTTGTTATAGTTTTATTTCTTTTAGTTTTAAATATTTATCGTAGCCACAATTATTCCTATTTTTAACTTTACTATTATTATTCATATTTTATTATTTTAAATTTAAATAAATGTTTTATGTTCTTGTTACTTATATGTATATAAAACTATTGTGTTTATAAAAACAAGTGACTTATTAATTTGATTATTTTTTAATGTAATTAATATTATAATTGTTATTGTTTGTTTTATTATTATTGTGGTTCTTATGTTTATTACTACAAATATTATTTTTATTATTATAATTATTATTCTTATAATTATTACTAATTATATATATAAAGATCTAGATTTTTGGTGTTTACTTGATATTAGTAGAATTACAATTTGTAAATATCCATGAAATTATCTTTCAGAATATATATATGATATGATATGATATGATTTATGATACTGGCGATTAGCTGATTTATATAAGATTTTCTTTGACGTTTTCTTTTTTTTGTCTCTATAGAGACGTCAGATGTCGCTCCACTGTATTTTGTAATTTTATTAACGGGTTGTTTGTTTTTGATATAGTACATGGCTGATAATTGCCGTATAAGCATGAAACTATTAGTCCCATAAAAAGTTGTTTTTTCTACATGTAAATAAAAATAAGTATATATATATTTACCGCTCTAGTTAAAAAGTTGTTTACTTTCTCTATTATTGAGCACTCTTAACCGAAATAGAGTTTTGTATTACTATTGTAATACAAATTTAACATTAATCAATATATATATATATATATATATATATATATATATATATATATATATATATATATATATATATATATATATATATATATATATATATATATATATATATATATATATACATATATATATACAAATTTGTAACTGCTCTGTTCTTTTAAGAACATGGAGCACTATTTTTGTGGAATATATATATATATATATATATATATATATATATATATATATATATATATATATATATATATATATATATTGGCAATTTTTGCCAACCTCGTTTCTATATTTTGTTGTGAAAATACTATTTTTGTTGAATAAAACAAACAAACAAAATGTTAGTTTGATATTATTGCAAAATTTGTATGTGTTAATGTAATTGTGATTAATCAGTTTGGTATAAAATCAAAATTGATTGATGGAACGGTAATAAGGGTTGCAATTTGTGGAATCCTTTGTCTAATTTCACAATGATTATTTTGTCTTGAACAGATTATTTGTTAACAGATTCGTTAACAGATTTGTTAACAAAAAAAGCAGTTTCTCCCTCTCTCCATCATAAGAACATAAAATAGAACATTTTATGTTCTTTTCATATTCAAAGAACACTAAATATAAAAAGAATACTTGTAATATTGTGATATAAGATAAAAACATTTTTCTTTATATTTTCTTTTCTGAAATCTGTAAGTAATATGTTTTTGTAATCCAGATTTAGTATTCTGTGAATACTTAATCAAAATTATTAGCCAAATTTTTGCCAGAAGGAAAGTTCAACGATCGCTATAAAGCCGAGCCCAAAGAAAATTAAAAGGATAATGGTATATCAATGCAGATTTATTTGCGACTTATTAGTTGATTATCTGTCGATGTTAAGTACAACTTTTTAAACACCTTTTTAACTTTTTCTTCCCTCATGTTCAACTAACTATTTAGAGTCTAGTTTATTTTTATAAGGTTTCTAGTCTGCCTCCTTCTCAGGCTACTGATTCAACGCAAGAAAATATTAAGACAACAACTTGTATATAAAAATAAATGAAAAAGTATATAAAATAACAAAAATGGTAGTTTTAGGGATTATTTTTATTATTATTATTATTATATTTATAAAATATTTTCAAATTTATGTATTTTAAATAAAATTTGTTTATTACACAGACATGTTTCATAATCAATCGTAAACTAATATGTAATAAAAACACAAAAAATTCGATGATGATGCACATTTAGCTATATATTTAACACATTAAAATTTTTCACATTAACACATTAAATTATACATTTAAATTATTATTAGATGTTGCTTGTGAATAAGAAAATTTTTTCCCTAATAGCAAAAACAAGTTTAATTTGGTCACTGTGCAACACTGTGCAACACTGTGCAACACTGTGCAACAGAAAATCTTGTCTCATACATTTGATGTTTTTTGAAATTTGGCAGTAAGCCAAGCAAAAATTTATATTTATATTTTTCGTAAACTGATTTTTTAAAACATATCTTTTTTAAAGCATTAGTGTATCTATTTACTATGTTTTTATTATTTTTTTTTATTTTAGATATCGATGACGAGAACAGCGAGTTGGCAAAATCGATATATAACTATATTATACTGTATAATTCTTAAACTTGATAAATAAATTTAAAAGTTTTAACCTAATTGATTCTTTATTTTATTTATACAAAAAATTTTTATTTTTTTTACATCTTTTTTAAACGCGCCTTAGACATCTATTTAAGAGACGTAATTTATACATCTAATATACATCTTTTAAATGTATATTTGACATTTTTTACGCATGTAAGGCATTAGTTTGTGTCGAATAATGTGCATCTAATTAGATGTATTTTAGACATCTTTTTGCTTGCTGGGTGCATGGCAACTACTCCCCAAATCAATGAACTGGATCAAGTGAGTGAGCTATCAAACTTTTTCAACTTTATTGTCTTATACCTGATGTGGCCAAGGCAATTGCTCAACCTATAATCTCTCTTTTTACCATTATATCTTAATCTTATAACGATGAAACATGGGCTTTGATAAAATATCGCATAAATCAACTTTTTAAACATCCATATTACAACATAGGTTTTAAAATAAAAAAGATATAAAAAACAAAAAATATAAAAAAGAAACACATTTAAAAAAAAGGCACAACCTTAGTCAACCTTAGTCACCCTTAGTCAACCTTAGTCAACCTTAGTCAACTATAGTCAACCTTAGTCAACCTTAGTCAACCTTAGTCAACCTTAGTCAACCTTAGTCAACCTTAGTCAACCTTAGTTAACCTTAGTCAACCTTAGTCAACCTTAGTCAAATTAGTGTAGCAAAATTTTATTTGTTTTTTTTTAAAATAATTTTCTTATATAAATAATGTATTGTAATTTACAGAATTTTAGAAAAAAATTCTCAATCAACTAGCAAATTTGGCAAATGAAATTTAAAGTTTAAGAAAAGCAGTTGAAATGATAGCTATACTACGTTTAGAGCACATTGAAAGGATATTAAACTTAACCTTGGTCAACCTTAGTCAAATTAGTGTAGCAAAATTTTATTTGTTTTTTTTTTAAATAATTTTCTTATATAAATAATGTGTTGTAATTTACAGAATTTTAGAAAAAAATTCTCAATCAACTAGCAAATTTGGCAAATGAAATTTAAAATGATAGCTATACTACGTTCAGAGCACATTGAAAGTGGTGAAGTTCATCTGAAACTTGATAGTTGATATTTAGACCTTCAATGGATATATGAATTTAGAGGAGCACAGTGGAATACTTGCAAATAAAAAAAATTTAGTGAATTATTAGCTCATATTTTTTATTTCAAGTTCATTATCCTGTTATGTAAAATTTAACTATGATTTAAATTTTTTTTTTAAAACGCGTTTTTAATGTCTAAAATATGTTTGCTTTGATGTATAAAATATATTTTCTTTTACTGATCAAGAAAGATTTATATTTTGATTGAATATGAATTCTAAATCAATTAAAAAGTAGCATTTTTTAATCATTTATTTGTAGTATCACCTTCTTTCACGAATTGGGGGAACATCTACTAAAGATACTTCAAGAAATCTCTTGAAATAACTTATTCTAATTTTGTTGTTCCAAATATAAGTATGGATAAAAAAGCAACATTTGAAAAGCTTCTATTTAGAGACACTTCTATCTATTAACTTGTTGTTGGTTAAATTTTAACTTTTTTGTTTAACTAAAATTAAAGTCAGGTTATGATTCTATTCTTTAATATACTTCAAATTTTAAACACCATTAAAACTATGGATTTATAAAGTTATTTAATAAATTATTTAATAGAATTGAATAAAGATTTTTGTTGAGTAAATGCAAACTAGTTTTTGAAGGGTATGGTAAAAACCTATGATAGGGCTTTCAAAGAGCATAGCCTAATCTGACTGAATTACTTAAATAATTTTAAAAAGAATAGCATAATATAAAAATAATAAAGCAATTTAAACAATTTGATGAAGTTATCTGGGCCCCTAAATACTTTTTCGCGCCCCACCCTCTTCTTCCCTTTTCTTGACAAAAATATTTGTCATTTTGTCAAGAAAAGAAAAAAAAAATTGTATTTAAAAAATATTTTTAAATTTTTCAATTACAATTTTGGTTCAATTATATAGAAACCCGTATGTTACACTATGCAGGGAAAAATCTAATCTAGTTTTTTTCTTGTCTTTAAAGCTGCAAATTGGTCTATAACACTTTTTAAATTTAATTGAGCTGCTATTTCTGCTTCAGTAGTTATTAGGTGTAGTCCGGACAAAATGATTAGCGCCATTGTTGTCCATAAATGTTTTATTATCCTTGGGGATAAAATATTCGTTATCAGTACAACTGTTAGAAATTAATAAATTAAACATTTGATCCGCGGTTTTATGGAAAAATAAAATATTCTATTTGATTGACGCAATAAAATCTGATATTGAATTGTAATCACCTTTGCTGTAACTAAACAACTGAGATTCACTTTTAGGAAACGGTTTTGAAATTAAAATTCCTTAAGTGACACTAAAGCGGCCCTTGGTTTTATTACCTAATATAGCATTAGGAAACAATTTTTAAAATAGAATTACTGTTGTAGGTAAATAACAAGTCCAACATATGGTTTGAAAGACCGTAGAGTGTCTAGACGTAGAAAATGTGATATGTTAAAGTTACCGACAATAGGGCACGGGCGGATCCAGACCATTAAGTAAGGGATCCGTCCGTGCCCTATTGTTGGTAACTTTACCATATCACATTTTTTACGTCCAGACACTCTATGGTCTTTCAAACCATATGTTGGATTTTTCAGCGACCCCACACATTTTTTAATACAATTTTTGTTTGAATATTACTCTTTCCTGTCATACTCTTATACCTATATATTTTAATCTTTTACTTAATTTTTTAAACAGACTATTGCTTCTCTTTAAACAGACTAGTTTGATTGGCGTTAATTAATGTGCACAGTCAAAGTCCAGTAAATGTTGAAAATGTGTTTTGCAAATTCGTAAACTATAGTTTGCAATATAAGTTGTTAAAATAATCAACAAATCAAGTATGTTTTTTTTTAATAAAAGGCTATAAATACAAATTACAAAAAAATAGTTTTTCAAATCATGTAAGCACCCCCCCCCGCCCCTATGGATATAATATATCGTGAATCTTTCAAATTAGCTAAGAGCTAATTTGAAAGATACACGATATATAATATTAAATTAGTATCATTTTGTCAATGTATAATTCAAATAAGTATGTGTTTATTGTTAACTTTTACACATACCAAAACTTCTTTGAAAAAAGTTTTATAGAAATAATTAACTTCATGAGAGATAAATGTATTAGTAATGAAGATTACTTGCGGTGTTCCCCAAGGCTCAATTCTAGGTCCACTTTTATTTCTTATTTGTGTAAACGATTTCTATAAGTTTTCAAACATTTTAAACTCAGTTTTATTTGCAGATGATACAAATTTATTTTATTCTAATGGAGATATCAACCTCTTATTTAAATAGTAAACAAGGAATTTTTAAATCTAGCGGAATGGTTTAAGGCAAACAAATTGTCCTTAAATTTAAATAAAACTAAGTATAGACTTCACGATAAAGAAAATATTCATTAAAACTTCCTGATCTTTGCATTGGCAACTCTAAAATAGTTAGAGAGTCATCATTAAAGTTTTTAGGAGTGATACTTGACGAAAACATGACATGGAGAGAACACATAAGAACAATTGAAAATAAAACTTCGAAAAATATTGGCATACTATACAAAGCTAAGCAAATCTTAAACCAAAACTGCTTAAAAATCTTATATTTCTCCCTCATACATTGTTATATAAACTATGCAAATATTGCATGGTGCAGCTCTAATGTAAGTAAAGTTAAAAAATTGCTTAGTACACAGAAACACGCTGTCATAATTATTTCAAATGCAGGTCGATTCGCACATTCTAAAGAACTATTCAAAAATCATCACATACTCAATGTTCTTCAGTTAAACCTTTATCAAATTCTTATCTTTATGTACAAACTACATAATAAATTAACTCCTATAATTTTTAATACATTTTTCAATAAAATTAATCACATGTACCCTGCAAGATTTTCAAATTAGAATTACGAGCAACCTAAAATACACTATTTGGCTACTAAATTTTCTATTGCCATCAGAGGTCCTAAATTACGGAACACTTTATTAAATAACCAGCTGAAAAATTGTTCTTCACTTTCTCTATTTAAACAAAAACTTAAACAAAAACTTTTTAACGATGTTAATGAATTAAATTCTTTTAAAGGTTCTTTTATCTTCTTTTTTAACAACTATCTTGTTAACTAGTCTAACCAATTTAAATTTTCTTTAATTATCATATTAGCGTAACTTCAGTTTTTAAGTGTGATTGCTTTTTTTTTTTTTTGTTTTTTTGGTTTTGTTTTTTTTGTTTTTGTTTTTACAATTTTCTTTTGATTATAGATTAGTAACTGATCTTAACATATTTGTATATATTTGTATATAATTTTTAAATGGTACAAAGTAATTTTAAGTTTTATGTTTACATTTTAATGGTTATGCACGCTTGCTGATGAAAGCACGTCGGGCTGTAGTGATAAGGCAAACATTGTCTTCTTTTAGCCCCGGTCATGTAGATTTTATTTATATAACACGGCATAGCATTCTTTTTTTTTTAATGACAAATAAAAAAAAATAAAATAAAATAAAAATAATAATAAATAAAAGCTACATTGCTACATCGACGTCCGTGTTAGCAATTTTTTAAAGTTAATTATTGTTTAAATACAATAGCCTCACTATTGTACTTTGCTTTGAAAACCTTTGCAACATCATACTTACCACTTAACTACATTTTATATTTGTGACTTAATACAGTTTGTTTTAATTTTTTATATATAAATAAATAAAAAGCTCGCTATTTGAAGTATTAGTCAAGATTTTTATTAAAGCTAAAAAAGATAGTCTGAAAAAGAGTTTTTAGTTCTTAGTTATATAATATAGGAAAAAATTGCTATCTTTATACGCATATTACTTTTAAGAACGGCAACTTTTGAAAAAAAATTTGAAAAGTTTTGCTTGGACCCCTAATAACTCCAGGCCCTCCCGTGGCTGCGGGCCTTTTGCTACTCTACTACCATCCAC